GGGACATTCCACTGCGCTGGCAGGGTCGCCATATAAAGGTTCGATTCGGGAGAGAAAATAGAACACGTCCAGTTAGCAACGAATATGATTTATTACTCTAATATAATCGATACTTACATTATTTAATATACTCTTAGAATCTAGGAATAGCATGACATCATTTCATAGGTTCCACTATACGCGTAATGTCGCGGAGAACCTAACGGGTAACCGGGGCTCCGGCTCGACGTGCTGGAGAAGGAACGGGATGGTTTTCAGTCAGTGAGAGTCTGACACTCCCTCTCGCCTCACCCAAGCGGGAGCAGTCATTCGATGACTTTCCCCCCTTAGAAACCCCCCCCCCCTAATAGGTTCCACATGATTTTTCCACCTCTTTCCTACCAATTTTAAATGTTGCTGTGCCCGTCAGGGTCCGTAATTGTCACTATTATATTTTCTAACGATTGTATTTGTACATTATGGATGCAATAAATACTTGATTACTTGATGTGTTCGGACACACTTTTTTGTGGGGGGAACATTATCCAATGACTTCTCCCGCGATAGGTGAGGCAAAAGAGGGTGTCAGACTCATACTGACTAAACATCACACTGTTTCTACACCTCCTTCGAACCGGAGCCACGGTAACCCGCAAGGTTATCTACAGCATCACAGGGTTCGGTATATTATCTCCGCGCTTAGTAGATGGATTGGAGACGTCGAAATCGCGGTTTAAAAAGTTCAGATTTATCAAAGAGCACTGCTATCCGGCCTCTATTACATGTGGTCTTAACAGCACAGAAAAAAAGTGTCAAATTTACACAGGAATATAAAAAACAGAATAAATAAAGTATTTACTATAATAATCTCTGGTCTGATTTATTTTATTTGGCCCTCCCCTTTGTGAGCAATACTTACTACTAAGAAAATGATATTTCCGGAATCTATTAATACGTGACCTATGCTTCAGTTTAGTACGCTTGTTGTTGCGGTGTTTCCATGCAAAACTTTTCGCATATCTTACAATAAAAGGAAGCAACGCTTCAAATACATCGTAACAGAACTTCAATCAGCACACAAAAGTAGGCCGCGAATAATTTAAACTTTCTTAAAAAAACCAGGCCAGGCGCCATACCTACTATCGAGAATAATGCTCTTATGAAACTGTCAAAATGACGTAACTATATCACCAACTTACACATGCAGCTGACAATGGCGCTAGTAGTCATACAAATGTAAAAGATGTTGTACGAAAAAATTAGTTCAAATTTTTTCCGTCTGTATTTTTAACTTGGTTTTGTTTCGCGCCATTGTGACGTAGTTTCTGAGTAGTTGATGACGTTTTTGGCGCGTCATTCGCTTTGAACGGGTTTGTCCCAAGAACTAATATAATATCCTTATTTAAATTAAGCTATATTACGTTATTTTTGATAGAGAACAGGTATTTTTTATTTTTTGCACGTATTTTTACAAGTCAATAAAATAGAGGGAATTTTGTTTTTTTTTTCTAACCCATCGATGGTCGGATACAAAGTCGATTTGGTAGAAAAAAATAATAATACTAGCTCTTTCTTTTATAGTCAATCATAACACGTCGCTTTTTTGAACAGGATCTAAAAATACAGCTGTAAAATTAAAAAAAAAACTTCAATTTTTTTATTTCACACAGTGGCGTAACTACAGGATGGCAAGTCGGCAAATGCCACGGGCCTCCAGCTAGAAGGAGCACTGTTCAGAGGTTGTCGTCTGAATTTCTGTTTTTATTGAGAACGGGGCCCATCCGATAAATTTGCCACGGGCCGCTAAGGGTATAGTTAAACCACTGATTGTGTACTTGTGTAGGATGTAATCGATTATTGTTTAACCGACTTCATAAAAAGAAGGGGGTTCTCAGTTCGACATGTATGTTTGTGCGGGATTGGGTACTTTCCTTAATCCATACAATAAAATAAAAAATAATCAAATTTTTATTAATTGATTTTATGACCAACTTTATTTTAGTATTTTCCCAGCTAATTTTAAAAACTAAGTACGCTGTTTGACGCTAAAAATCGTGACGTCACAATACACAATTTCGTACAAAATTCATAGAAAACTGTCGTTTTTGACAGTTCGAAAAAAGTATTGAATTTGACTAGTTGGTAAGTACACGATTGTCTCGAGATTGGCTGAACCGACTTCTAATTCTAACTAATGAACCGATTTCAAATAAAGAGGGGTTTGATTGAAGTGAATATTTTTTCTTAATATAACTTTATAAAAGAATTATTTTAGTCTGTAGGCTATCTGACAGTAGTACTTATAACCTTCAAGAAAATAGCGTATTCCTTATTAAAAAGCCGGCGACGCACCTGTGACTCCTCTGGTGTTGCGGGTGTCCATGGGCGGCGCTGATCGCTTACCATCAGGTGATCCGTCTGCTCGCATGCCTCCTATCCAGTATAGGCTAGATTACAATAACATCACGCCTTTTAATCCTTGAGGGGGCAAGTTAAGGTGGTAACATTCTTCTACGATTTTTTTAAGGGGGGAAATCATCGAATGTTTTCTCCCGCCTGGGTGAGGCGGTAGTTAGTGTCAGACTCTTACTGACTAAAAACCACCCAGTTTCTTCTCCTGCACGTCGAGCCAGAGGGGGGTTACCCGTTAAGTTCTCCGCGACATTATTTTACGATATAGGTAATTTTGCAAGACTTTTGAGGGGGAAAAATTATCAATTGGCTCCAATGATGAATACAGGCGGTTGGAGATCACAGTAAACGGTTCAGGTGTATCTGAGAGCGCTGCCATTCATCGGGTATATGACACCCGCGGGAAGAGTAACGGTGATGATTCATTTTATGTGTGTAGGTAATGTTAAATATAAAATGATCGTAATAATAACCTGTTGTTTAAGTCTAGATGTCTAGAATACGTAATACGTTTTTTTAGCGTCAAACAGCATACTTATTTTTTTAAATAGCTGGGAAAATACTAAAATAAAGTTGGTCATAAAATCAATTACCTAAAAAAAGTTTGATTATTTTTTAATATTTTATTGTATGGATTAAGGAAAGTATCCGGAATCCCGTAACATAGGTACATACATACCTACGTACATGTCGAACTGGGAACCCCTTTTTTTTGAAGTCGGTTAAACAATAATCGATTACATTCTACACAAGTACACAATCAGTGGCTTAACTATACCCTTCGCGGCCCGTGGCAAATTTATCGGATGGGCCCTCGTTCTCAATAAAAAAAAAACAGAAAAAATCAGACGAAAACAGTGCCCCTTCTAGCTGGGGGCCCGTGGCATTTGCCGATTTGGCAGCCTGTAGTTACGCCACTGTGTATATTTAAGGTATTTAAAAATATATTTAGTATTTTGTTTACGCCTTGTCAACCAGTTTTTCAAGGTTAGGTTATAAACAGTCAAGTCAAGTCACCTCGTGTAGTTTATCTTTGTCTTTTTTTATTTTTATACTATTTCCTGTCCGCGGTTTCCCCGCGTTCCCGTACGATTTAAAGTACCCTATGTGTTAGTCCAGACCATTATCTATCCTTGTTCCAAGTCGCCAAGACTGCTCCCGCCTGGGTGAGGCGGAAGGGAGTGTCAGACTCTTACTGACTAAAAACCACCTCGTTCCTTCTCCTGCACTTCAAGCCAGAGCCCCGGTAACCTGTCAGGTTTGCCGCGACAGTAGTTATGCCATGTGGTGACTTCAGAGTACAATAGATTTTATCACCACCGCAGCTCTTCCCGTGGGTGTCATACACCCAAGTAAGATACAGCTTCATAAAACAGAATAAAGAATAATAAAATAGAGGTCGCTAGTATCGTACCTGTGGGAACCTGATACACTACGACTCAATCGGTTTTAATATTTGTTATTTTTATCGAATTCAAAAAGAGAAGGTACTATGATGTCGCGGAGAACCTAACGGGTTACCGGGGCTCCGGCTCGACGTACAAGAGAAGGAACGGGGTGGTTTTTAGTCAGTAAGAGTTTGACACTCCCTCCCGCGTTACCCAGGCGGGAGCAGTCAATCAATGATTTTTCCCCTTAAAAAAAAAATTAGGTTCGGATGATGTTTGTTCATGGTCCGGAGTGGGTGATTCAATCCAAGTCAATATTAGTTCCAGCTGTCATCGCATCAAACTCTTCTTTTGCCAAAACCGGTCAACCGCGCTCTCTGTTAATGAGCCTGATAAGATCGAGGAAAGTATTAACACTATTCGACCGATATAGGAATCGAAGTCATTTGACACTTTGTTCAGCAGCCAATCACAGCGCTAATACTACAATTATTATGATTCAAAAACGAATACGTGACCAATAACCATATAACAGTTACAATTAGTTATTTTTATATTTCATATTGATTGGCGTTCCATAGTCTCTGCCTGACCTTGGAAGATAGGCGTCATAAAAATACGTAGGCATTTCATTTCTTATATTAATAGTTATTCAATGTCTAATACATATTATAATAATTATAGTCAAATATTACATACATCGCACAAATAAATAGCGTATTGTGTAGAGCGACTGCTTACAAAAATTCTACCAATTTGGTAGAAATTGTACCATAGTACGACGTACCGTAGTAGAAAGAATAGTAGAATTCTTTTCTATAGTAATATTTAATTTTATTATCTAAATCGGCATGGTGTGTTTTTTCAAATACGTTTTTAGATTTATTATGTAAAGGAATGTTACTGTAATAATTTTATATACATGCGAAAGTGTATGGAGTAACACCACGGCCTCACAGAAAACCGAAACCGAAACAATGCTTGCGTTGTGTTTCGTCGTGTGAGTGAGGTTACCGAAGACCCAATTAATCTCCTCCCAATGTCCCCAATGCCTGGAAAATATTTATTACAAAATTGTCATAAAATTATACAAAGGAAACTTATAAAAGAAATAGAAATTAATTAATTTTAAGAAACTATAACTATAATAGTCTGTCAATAGTATTAAATTGAATATGATTATTTTATTAATTATTAAATCTTCTTTTCCAAAATATAGCTTTTACCTTTTTGGTTAGTGAGTGCACGAAATTTGTGTGAAATTTCATTTTCGAGTGCTGGCAACACAGTTGGTTGACAAGTGTGAATATCACGGAGCAACATGAAGGAAACGTGAGTAATATTTTTGCGTTATTTTGTTATCAAGTAACTGTTAACCGATATTGAATATTCATATTTTATTAAACTTCCTATACACAGTCGGGACAGTCGTTATTTCATTCGATATAAGAAGAATCAATACATTATTTTGACTTAGCGTCGATGTCGGACGCAAATTGAAAATTACAACGTGAATTTATATGAATAACTTATCTAGTTCGCGTTTAATATGTATTCCAAAGTAATGATGTTCGTTATAATAGTATTATGACAATATTATTGTTACTTTTGTTTACGAGTCTAGACTAGTTGTGTTATGTTATTGGTATATGTACCTACGTTATAATGTTTAACATAATATCTTGTACCTACTAAACATAAATACGTTCTCAATGTACAGTGGCCAGCACTTACTTCAATCTGTCATATTTTTTCATTGGATTTTCGACTCTGTGTCAATAAGATAACGTTGAAGATGTCATTTGATAGAAAGGTATAGTTAGACCTGCAGCCTGCTGCCACCGTAGAGTACGATATAAGTTTTCGTTCATAATTATTGTTATATTTTTACAATGTTTCTGGCATTAG